ATATTTTTTTCTAATATCAAACCGATAATAACATCTGATCGGGACACCCCTACAAATACAGGTGCTGGTCATAAAATTAGAATATCATGAAAAAGTAGATTGATTTCAGTAATTCCATTTAAAAAGTGAAACTTGTATATTATATTCATACATTACATACAAACTCATATATTTCAGATGTTTATTTTGTTTAATTTTGATGATTACAAATGACAACAAATGAAAATCTCAAATTCATCATATCAGAAAATTAGAATATTACTGAAGACCAATAAAAACAAAGGATTTATAGAAATGTTGGCCAACTGAAAAGTATGAACATGAAAAGTATGAGCATGTACAGCACTCAGTATTTAGTTGGGCCTCCTTTGGCCTGTATTACTGCAGCAATGCGGCGTGGCATGGAGTCGATCAGTCTGTGGCACTGCTCAGGTGTTATGATAGCCCAGGTTGCTCTAATAGTGGCTTTTAGCTCTTCTGAATTGTTGGGTCTGGTGTATTGCATCTTCTTCTTCACAATACCCCATAGATTTTCTATGGGGTTAAGGTCAGGAGAGTTTGCTGGCCAATTAAGAACAGGGATACCATGGTCCTTCAACCAGGTACTGGTAGCTTTGGCACTGTGTGCAGGTGCCAAGTCCTGTTGGAAAATGAAATCTGCATCTCCAAAAAGTTGGTCAGCTGCAGGAAGCATGAAGTGCTCTAAAACTTCCTGGTATGTGGCTGCGTTGACCCTGGACCTCAGAAAACACAATGGACCAACACCAGCAGATGACATGGCACCCCAAACCATCACTGACTGTGGAAACTTTACACTGGACTTCAAGCAACGTGGATGAAGTGCCTCTCTTCTTTTCCTCCAGACTCTGGGACCTTGATTTCCAAAGGAAATGCAAAATTTACTTTCATCAGAGAACATGACTTTGGACCACTCACCAGCAGTCCAGTCCTGTTTCTCTTTAGACGCTTCTGACGCTGTCTGTGGTTCAAGAGTGGCTTGACACAAGGAATGCGACAGCAGAAACCCATGTCTTTCATACGTCTGTGTGTGGTGGTTCTTGAAGCACTCACTCCAGCTGCAGTCCACTCTTTGTGAATCTCCCCCACATTTTTGAAGGGGTTTTGTTTCACAATCCTCTCCAGGGTGCGGTTATCTCTCTTGCTTGTACACTTTTTTCGACCACATCTTTTCCTTCCCTTCGCCTCTCTATTAATGTGCTTGGACACTGAGCTCTGTGAACAGCCAGCCTCTTTAGCGATGACCTTTTGTGTCTTGCCCTCCTTGTGCAAGGTGTCGATGGTCGTCTTTTGGACAACTGTCAAGTCAGCAGTCTTCCCCATGATTGTGTAGCCTATAGAACTAGACTGAAAGACCATTTAAAGGCTTTTGCAGGTGGTTTGAGTTAATTAGCTGATTAGAGTGTGGTACCAGGGGCCATCAATTTTGAACCTTTTCACAATATTCTAATTTTCTGATATGATGAATTTGAGATTTTCTTTTGTTGTCATTTGTAATCATCAAAATTAAACAAAATAAACATCTGAAATATATGAGTTTGTATGTAATGTATGAATATAATATACAAGTTTCACTTTTTAAATGGAATTACTGAAATCAATCTACTTTTTCATGATATTCTAATTTTATGACCAGCACCTGTATTACTCCAGAGGATGCACATTACAGCAAAAAGGAACGACTCTCTTTTAACATGAAGAAGCATCCAGCAGAACCCAGCTGGCTGTGTATATCAAAGAAAAGATGACGATAAAAATTTTCTGCTCTCTTCTTGGGCAGAGTAGACAGCTGGAGCATTTGTCTGGACTTCATTTGATCCTTGTTGAAAATCAATACAGTTATTTTCTAATTCAACAAATTTGCAGCTGTCTTTGTCCTTGTATGTAGACAGATTTAGTTACTATGCTGTGGTAAGTTGTTTGGCTTTGCTATTATTTATTCAGTTATTAGCAAAACACAATATAGAACTTCTTTAGCTTTACAAAAAAAAAAATCTGTCTGACATGCATTACACATAAAAAAAAAAGAATAGAATTACAAAAAAATGATCAAATCTGTTAATCTTAGAAAAAGGGTTGGTTTCTGAATATAGCCTCATTGTGGTCTGTGATGTGAAATTAATCTAATTAACACAAATCATAAGCCATAGACGATGTATGTGCTGGATTAGAAATTCAGGAAAGTGGGAATTCCTTCTGTTATGTCGTTTTTGTTTCGCAAACTTTGCCTCTAATACTCATTGAAAGGGAAAGTCAATGCATAGAAAGAGAAAAAACAAACATCTGCCTAAAAGTTTGATATAAGACCTCAGCTGTTTTATTTGATTTAGAGAAAACAAGAAGTCATTTTCTTGAGAGCATCTAAATATACAAGTACACTAAGCCAGAGTTTACAACCCAATATGTTTTTCTTTTTCTCTTGCTCTGCTAATATGCATTATATCTATGTATTTATTTATACACTAAGTCTAAGTTAGGTTGCTATTTGCTTTATTTCTTTTTTTATTTGTACAGAAAGATGAATCAGATTTTCTCCCTGTTGTTTTCAACGCTTTTTTTTTTTTGTTAAGCTGTTAGTTAAAGTTTTCTTAAAAAACAATAATAAAATAGCATCTACAGGTGAGGATACTCTGGCAGCAGCTTTGTTTTGAAGTTTAAGAAGAAGAAGAGCTCCAATCCTCTACTGAATGTTGGGATCTGTTTATGTAATTGTTTCTATTATTAAAACAGTGCTCCATTAGTGGCAGAAATTTGTACAGATAAAGTATTTAGTCTTGGTAGTTGCCTGTTTTTTTTGTTGGCTGTTTACTGGAAAGATCTTTCGTGATTAGTTGTGAAGCAATGCAGTGGATTACCGGTAGTTTAGTGGAGGGATGTGATTTGAGATGGTTTGTGAGAATGAATCTTTTAAAGGAGCATATACAGGTGCTGGTCATAAAATTAGAATATCATGAAAAAGTAGATTGATTTCAGTAATTCCATTTAAAAAGTGAAACGTGTATATTATATTCATACATTACATACAAACTCATATATTTCAGATGTTTATTTTGTTTAATTTTGATGATTACAAATGACAACAAATGAAAATCTCAAATTCATCATATCAGAAAATTAGAATATTGTGAAAAGGTTCAAAATTGATGGCCCCTGGTGCCACACTCTAATCAGCTAATTAACTCAAACCACCTGCAAAAGCCTTTAAATGGTCTTTCAGTCTAGTTCTATAGGCTACACAATCATGGGGAAGACTGCTGACTTGACAGTTGTCCAAAAGACGACCATCGACACCTTGCACAAGGAGGGCAAGACACAAAAGGTCATCGCTAAAGAGGCTGGCTGTTCACAGAGCTCAGTGTCCAAGCACATTAATAGAGAGGCGAAGGGAAGGAAAAGATGTGGTCGAAAAAAGTGTACAAGCAAGAGAGATAACCGCACCCTGGAGAGGATTGTGAAACAAAACCCATTCAAAAATGTGGGGGAGATTCACAAAGAGTGGACTGCAGCTGGAGTGAGTGCTTCAAGAACCACCACACACAGACGTATGAAAGACATGGGTTTCTGCTGCCGCATTCCTTGTGTCAAGCCACTCTTGAACCACAGACAGCGTCAGAAGCGTCTTGCCTGGGCTAAAGAGAAACAGGACTGGACTGCTGGTGAGTGGTCCAAAGTCATGTTCTCTGATGAAAGTAAATTTTGCATTTCCTTTGGAAATCAAGGTCCCAGAGTCTGGAGGAAAAGAAGAGAGGCACTTCATCCACGTTGCTTGAAGTCCAGTGTAAAGTTTCCACAGTCAGTGATGGTTTGGGGTGCCATGTCATCTGCTGGTGTTGGTCCATTGTGTTTTCTGAGGTCCAGGGTCAACGCAGCCACATACCAGGAAGTTTTAGAGCACTTCATGCTTCCTGCAGCTGACCAACTTTTTGGAGATGCAGATTTCATTTTCCAACAGGACTTGGCACCTGCACACAGTGCCAAAGCTACCAGTACCTGGTTGAAGGACCATGGTATCCCTGTTCTTAATTGGCCAGCAAACTCTCCTGACCTTAACCCCATAGAAAATCTATGGGGTATTGTGAAGAAGAAGATGCAATACACCAGACCCAACAATTCAGAAGAGCTAAAAGCCACTATTAGAGCAACCTGGGCTATCATAACACCTGAGCAGTGCCACAGACTGATCGACTCCATGCCACGCCGCATTGCTGCAGTAATACAGGCCAAAGGAGGCCCAACTAAATACTGAGTGCTGTACATGCTCATACTTTTCATGTTCATACTTTTCAGTTGGCCAACATTTCTATAAATCCTTTGTTTTTATTGGTCTTCAGTAATATTCTAATTTTCTGATATGATGAATTTGAGATTTTCATTTGTTGTCATTTGTAATCATCAAAATTAAACAAAATAAACACCTGAAATATATGAGTTTGTATGTAATGTATGAATATAATATACACGTTTCACTTTTTAAATGGAATTACTGAAATCAATCTACTTTTTCATGATATTCTAATTTTATGACCAGCACCTGTAATGTTATTGTTGAAATGGAGAAAAAGAAGAGGAAATGCATTTGACATGCATGTTATTAGGAATTATCTATTGGTAATCTGACAAACCTGCAGTTTGATCTTCCTTTCGTATCATAGAGAAACTCCTAACCCTTTGTTTTTTTATCAGTGTTATTAGAAAACAATCAGACATGGCTGCAGCGACTTATTATTAGCCCATATCTACTGCAGCTTTAGGGTCAGCTTTCCAAAGGACCTTGTGTTGCCATTGATTTTATCCATTAGCTGCAGATGATGTCTCTCCTGTTTTTAGGTTGTCATGTGACCTTGGCTTGATAACATATTTAAAACCTGCCTCCAGAGGGGGAACAGCGTGTTGTGTAGTGAAACACTGAGTACCAGTGGTCATAAGTATTTTTTCTTTTATAAGATTAGAATAAAGCCTGACATTTCAAGTTGGTTTAGCTCAAAGTATTTGTGTTCTCCCGCAGGGCAGGATGCAGTCTTCAAACCACCGACTACGTGATATGGAGCAGCACCACCCGCTGCTTGCAGCTGGTGCAGATGTAGAGACAGGCATCCTGGGAGCCGGCGTGATGGTTGGAGGTCCAAACTCCGGCCACACAGTAGGGAACCGCACTGTCTGGTTCATTCAGGACAGCTGCGGGATGGTGTGCGCCACCATGACCTGGTTCCTGGTCCTATACGCTGAGTTTGTGGTGAATTTCGTCATGCTTCTGCCTGCCAAGAACTTCTGGTACTCGCTGCTGAACGGGGCCACCTTCAACTCCCTGGCTGTACTTGCACTGGCATCACACCTGCGCACCATGTTGACCGACCCAGTAAGGACTTTCAGCATCATAACAATCGCTGAAACATTTAAACACAGAAGCTAAGTGGAGTTAAAGAGGGGCTTCACTGAAATATTAAAATCGGAAAATACTCTACCTGTAAAGAGAGTCATATATGATAAATGTGGTTTTTGGAGTCAGAAAAGTGTGCAAGTTAGAGAACAACCCGACAGCACAGGCACAGTGTTATTGGAGCCGCTATCCAGTGTAATGTGGGGCACTGAGGAGCAGTTTTTTTTTTTATATATACTATTCTGTATGAAGACTCTGCAGAGAAGCTTGTTAAACTAAGTCTAAATGTCCGACTTAGAATTTAATTTAACATCAAGGTTTACATTTTTACCCTGGCTGATAAATTATGGCTGATCCATGTCATCTGGTCAAGGTTGTTTACTTTTCTGTTTCAAATGAGGCATTTAACTTGTTTTCAGCTAACACTGTTACTTAAACTACATTCAATTCATTACTGACTGTAGGCTGCTTTACTATATACAGTGTTTGGTTGCTAGTAGAACATATTCATTTCCTCTTAAGTTTGACCTCCACTTTGTCACTGGATTCAGTTGGTCGGTTCATGCTTTAGCTGATGACTTGCTAGTTAATCTTACTCGAATAAAACAAAAGCCCCTTAGATGCTTTAGTGGTTGGTAAAACGTGGCTTAGCAAGTTTCCATGTAAACCTGTGTGTTATGTGCCCCAGGCCCATTATGATTTTTGTCCATTTCTTTTCTTCGTTTACTTATAAACTTTAGTTGAAGGATCTTTTTGTTAATATATTTTAGGATTCTTTTAGTAAATCAATTATGTTAATTTGTGGTGCTGTCGTCCGCCTATAAATAGGCTGGCCTTCAGCACGTTAGCGTGTTCCTTGCGTGTTCCTTGTGCGTTCCTTGCGCGTTCCTTTCCAACCTCGTTTGGACGCCACTTCCCACCTGCTTCATTTGCTCCATCGTGCGCGGTGCGCACTGGTCTTGTCGCTGCGGCCTGCAGCGGACGTTCCAGCCTGCCATGTGGTATTTTTGTTACCTTTTTCTTACTTTTTTCTTGAGGTTTTTGGCCTGGCGGGACCGGTAGTCCTGTTTTCGATTTTTCTTTCGCTTAGGTTATTTTTTGCCTTTAGTCCGGTACCAGTAGGGGCTTCGACGGCCCTGTATAGGGTTGGCCCCCTGCTGTACCGTTTTATTCTGTTTGATCGGCCTGCCAGGTCCAACTTTCTGTTGTTACTTTGGGTTTCTTTTTTTATTTTTTTGGGGCACGGGATTTGAGGGCCGTTAACTATTTTTCTCTTCGCAGAACATCTGAAGAAGCCGAACCAAGAACAACTAAAACGGAGAGAATTTATTAATAAAACATCTTTTTTTGAACCCTCATTTTTTGTCTCGTGTCCTCAAATATGTTGTGTCCTTGGTGGGCGTAACACTGTGTAAAATCCATTTATTTTACCAGTTTCAAAGCACTTTAAAAAGGAATGTTAAAAGAGTAAAAAAACTGCTGGTACAATAAGAAAAAATAAAAATGTAACCGATAGCCGGAGAGGAATTAAGAAATAAACAAGTGAATCTATCCAAACAAAGATTAAAGTATTTTCTGGTTAAAGATGATGTCTTGTACTGGGACTACAGTGCTAAAGAGACATAATTTTGAATTTACCAAAAGTATAGGGGCACAGTAGCTAACGATTTTGGAGTAGAAAATGTCCCATGACTTAATGGGTTGGAAATCTTACAAACATTTTTATTTCATTTGCTTACTATTCAGAGGATCAATTTCTCACCAGTTATATTTATAAGCACAAATGAACTAAACTGAATATAAAAATAAAATCATGATAAAGCAAAAGGCAAAATACGTTTTAATATAAGGAAAAAAATCTATGGAAAAACAAAGGCTGCCCTAATGGTCGTGCTCTGTGAAATTAAAGGGTTGTTAAATGATGTTTACGTAAAATAATTTAAAGACCAGCAGTAAAAGGGCCGACTGTTCCAGAACCCCGAATCTGGTCACAAGCTTATGATCTTACTGGTGATACGTGACTGTTGAAGCTTTTCTGAGATAACGAGGTGACATTTAAAACCTGAAGCAAAGCTCAAAAGACTATTCTAATAAAAAACAAAAAAACAGGGTGATACATTCATGCTGGCTTGTGGTGGTTAGAAGAGGGTTGGCCGAGTTTTACGATGGCTGTCGATTGCTTTGAGGTGGATAAGGTAATCCAAGTAGGACGTTACAGACCTCCCTACTGACCTGCTTCCCCCCGAAGACAAATCCGGCAGTTATTAGCATGGGATGAATGAAAAATCAGAGGACTGAGGATGGATCTTTGTGGTACTCCCCATGGGAGTTCAGCATAGGTGGACATTCAATCATTAAAGCTAAAACTGAAACGTCTAAGAGGCTGGAAAGACAATGGATCCTAATGTTGATTTAAATGACTTTAAGTAGAGAATTAAGTTAGTCTAAGTGAAACTGAACACGACCCCTTCAATCTTAATGCATGATTTATCGCTATGGATATGTGTAACAATATATTTTTTCCACAATTTAGGGTGCAGTTCCTAAGGGCAATGCTACCAAGGAGTACATGGAGAGTTTACAGCTTAAGCCTGGTGAAGTCATCTACAAGTGCCCAAAGTGTTGCAGCATCAAACCTGAAAGAGCACACCACTGCAGGTCAGCCTGACAGCACATGGAAACCTTTCTCTTCTGTTTGGATGTTTTTAACAAAAGCAGAGAACATCACTTTTATATGAAATGAATTGGAAGTGCAACTGTTTCTGAGTTGGGTTGAGAGTTGAGGGGACAGTGAACTTGAAATAAGGTTCGACTGCACCACTTGGTTTCTGTGCTGGTGTCTCAATGAACAGATAAGTTTAAAAAGACATTTAATATCATCTTATGTTGAAATTGTAGTTGTTTAACCCAGATAAACACAACAACAACAAAAAAATACAATCAAATGTCCAAGCTTATATTCTTTTAAACTCAAAATATAGTAAAATCAAAGTATGCAGATGTTCCAAAGCTCTGTGTTAATAATTAATTTGTGTCTTCTTCATTCAGTATTTGTAAACGATGCATTCGGAAGATGGATCATCACTGTCCCTGGGTCAATAACTGTGTGGGAGAGAAGAATCAGAGATTCTTTGTTCTTTTTACTGTAAGTATATCAATGTGGGGAAACTGGCAAGAGGCTGTGGCAGAAATGAGCAGATCTTTCATCAGAAACAGGTCTACATTAAATAGGCTCTCAGTGCTACATCTGGGACTCCCTTGATAAGATCAGCACTTTTTATGTCTGAATTTGCTGACTGGATTGTTCTGAAGACATAAAATTAAAGCTGCCTTCTATGGCTGCCATTAAAATCTAGCACACGCCTTTTTCAACACTTTGATTTACAGAAAAGGGAGCTTTAAAAGCTAGTTCAGATTTACATCTCATTACAGTAAAAAAACTGCATACATTAAGATAAAAAAAAACACAGCACCATTAGTGGAGCCAAGCTTAAAGGATGAACCTGTTTTATGATCAAATCTTTTGTTTTGTATTATTTTCTCCACAGATGTACATAGCATTGATTTCAGCCCATGCTCTGGGCCTGAGTGGAATGCATTTCTTCACATGTATTAAGGTGCAGTGGAATGGTAAGACTGCAGAATGTTTTTTTTTTTTTATATATATATATAAAGTTGCCTTAAGAAACAAACACAACAACAAAAAAGTTCCGAATTTAAAGGAACATTTTAAATGTAGAATTAAAAGTCCCAATATAAAATCCACTTTTATTTCAGAATTGATTGGAAATGTTCATCCCAATCATAGAAGACTGTCATTGTTGTTGATTTTGTTTTGCAGAAATGAAAACGAATAAAAGTTTTGCTTGAGATTTATCATTGGCTGGATAAAAAGAAAATTTTTAAAAAGCTGTTGTTTATAGATGGTCTCTACAGCCGACAGGACTGCTGCAGGGGTTCTGACATTAGATCATCGATTCCCATTGCTTTAGTGGACTAAAACTGAAAACAATGGCTTATAACTTTTTTTCCCCCATAATTGACATCCATTTTTCAAGTTTTAGTTAACTTTACTGTGAAAACCTTTGATTTGGTTTCTTTTCTCGCCCTGTTTAGAGTGCAGTGACTTCTCACCAGGGGTGTCTGTTCTGCTGCTGATCTTCCTCTGTCTTGAGGCCATCCTCTTCCTAACTTTTACGGCCGTTATGTTTGGCACACAGATTCACTCTATCTGCAACGATGAGACGGTTAGTAGCCGTTTTAACCTCCTCAGCTTTTTTAGCTTTAGGTTCAGCTCTATCATTTCTAACCTTAAAGATGAAAGGCCAAAGAGGCAATTAATACATTTTGAATATATGCAAAAATATTAGACTATCAAGAACTCTGAATAAAACTTGATGAATGGTACTTATTCAGATCTTTATAAATGTCCCAATGGGAAATAATTAACAATATATTTCTTCTTTGCAATAGCCATTTGGTCTTAAAACTAGAGAAGCCTCAACACTGAGTTGCTGAACACACACATACACATGTTTGTGTGTAAAGAAATCAGATTGATTAGGAATTTAGGTACGAGAGTCAAGTTATGGAGGTCAGAATGACTGATTTCAGATTGTTTTAAGATTAGTTTTTAGTTAGACCGAATAGAAGAGAATAGAATAGAAAATCCCTTTATTGTCCCCCTATGAGGAAATTCTGGTGTTTACAGCAGAAAAAAGATTATACAAAAAAAAGGGTCACACAAATGTGGACCTTAGAAAAGTGTATAAGAATAACGTAATAGTGAAGAGTTAAAATAGAATAATGTACTGTAAAGTGTTTTAATGATGTAAAACAGTTCACATGGAGAATAAATAACCAATATACAGCTATGGACATTTTTATAGTAATGGATATTTGAAAATATCAGCAACATCAGATATGTGCAAAATAACAGCTCAGAATAAAAACAAACCTTACAGCAGTAATATCATGGGTTCTGATCATTAAAGGAGTGAAAGGTCAAGTTGTTATTCTTTTTTTTTTTTTTTTTATAAGTTACACAGACTAATAAATGGACAAAGACATGATGAGTAGGTGAGGTTATCTTGTTATTGCTGCAACTTTGTAAGGAAAGGAAAGAGTTCTCTGAACAAAAGGTGGATAAAAACCCACCTGTTGAGATCATTTCTTGAATTAAGTTTCTTTGAACTGATTTGAATCTTTTTCAGGAGATTGAGCGTCTCAAAAACGAGAAGCCAACATGGGAGCGTCACATGAGATGGGATGGAATGAAATCTGTCTTTGGGGGTCCGCCGTCACTTCTGTGGTGCAACCCATTTACAGGCCTCCATCTGCGCCGTCTGTTGGCGGGGACTCAGGGTCGCCGTGGCGGCTCAGAGTTTTCCGTCTGACAGTCTGGCCAGACAGATTTGTTATCGGTCCCCCCTGTGAGGACTACGGTGGACCTTCAATTCCTCAGCCTGCCCTTTGAAGGGAACGATACACAGGCTGCTGCAGCGGGACCACAAACATCACAGCTGGCTGTATAACACTCAACACTGTGTTAATTTGCACTTGTGTTCTCAAAATTGGGCTGTTTTTTCTTGAGCAGCATTTCGATTTGCTTGTGTGAATTTTTTATCTCACGTACTACAGCAGTCAAGTCAGGTCTGTCTCCAGGAACCATCCAAACGAGTGTTGGAGATGCACTTGTGTTTCTACAGCATATCATTTATCAACTCTGCAGTCGGGGAAAAGGATCACAAGTGGGAGAAATGCTCAGTACTCATCTGGATCCAGACATGGAAATCCCAGTTCAGGATTTGCACTACTTCCTTTATAACAGCCATGTGTGTGCAGAGCACAATAACTTTGAACTATGTGCTCAGACATGCATGAACAACAGACACATCTGCCAGCCTGGAAGTGGCAGCCTTTTAAAGACACCGGCCATTGTAAACACAAGCCTTATTCTTAGACAAGAGGACCAAATGGCTTTTCTCATCAGTTCGTCCTCCTCTTGTGTTTTTTTTTTTTTTTTTTTTTAAGTCTTTGGTATTTTTGTTGTTACGTGAACCTGTAAAGATATTCTTCTATTTTTAAGTGACTACTGAAGCCTTATCACCAAGACCACTCCTCAACAGCTATCCTACGTGCTCATTTGGATAAGGAAGTCATTCTCAGTGTCCATAGCTTTGCCATTCATCCCTGCTTACATGCTGCCTAACATCTTAGGAGCCTTTCTGAAACGATAAATTACTGATACGTCTCCCTAATTCAGGCTGTAGATTGAATGTAATTTTTAATGGTTTTCTATTTGTGTTTATCTTCATGCTGTTAGATGGAGGAATAGATCCAGAAACATGGAGAGATTGCATTCAAACACTGAAACCTCACAAGCTGCTCAGAGCCAGAATAGACATGATCAGTTTGCATGCTGCTAAGCAACTATGTGGTGTACCCTCTTGTTAAAGAAGACTGCACCATAGTACATCACTGGACTACAGAGCAACGCTTTTTTTCTCTTTGTAAAGTTGGTACAAACAGGAAGTCGTTTAATTATAAAAGCATTAAGTCTGAACTGTGTTTGGGGGAATTGCCTTTTTTTTCCCCCCTCTCCATAGGTTTAACCCCAGCAATATCTGCCAGCAGGGCAGGAAGTGATCATGTTCAGGTGTTGCATCAGAGCACTTAGGCTGTTAAAGTGATCCATTATATTTATGACGCTCACCTTAACAGAAGTGATATGCCAGTAAGCACTTGAAACGGATGCGTCTTGAATATAAGTTAGGGTTTAGTCTAAGAGGCTGAAAGTGCTTAAATGAAACCTTTTCAGTCTGATATTCCCAGCGAAACGATTTAGTGCTATTTGTTCTCATCTGTGGTGATCAAGAGAAATATCTTCGCTGTTTACACTATTGATTAAAATCTCAAAGAATATTGTGTATTTCTATGTTTTTTAATAGGAAATTGCTGTCAAAAGAATGTAAGATTCATCTACTTTTGGAGCAGGGGACAAAGCACTGATCGTATAACAATATTGGGGGTGGGGGTGGGGAGGGGTATCGTAATGCTGGCCTCATTTATCCAGTTTTGTTGCTGCTCTGTATTAAATTTATAAAATTTGGCATACGGGTTTACATTCAGAATTGTTGAAGACAAAAATTAAATGCTGTTGACATATATAGCTGAAGGACAGATTGATAAGATCTGAACAGCAATCAGTTAAAACTGAAACTTGAAAGAAAAGGCTTTGTGATGTACAGTAACAGGATGGAGGTTTTAATACATATTTATCATTAATTCCGTTTATTGGACGTTGTTTTTGTTTTTTTTCTCCAGGGTGGGGTGGGGGGGTTCTTTAAGAACAAAATTCCCTGAGCTTTATAAATAAAGTATAAAGTTAACTATTAATGATATATAAACTGAATGTTGAGATTTGTTTTTATTTAAACTGTGTCAAATTTTTGTCACATCCGTAATGTCTTTTCCATAATAAAGCTGAATAACTTAATTATTATTAATGACTGTTTTTTTTTTATTATTATTGGTTTATTTCTTACCTGAAAACACAGTAGAGGTACAATATGGTGCATCAGATATGATTGATATTGATTTTGAGTCCTTTTAATGACACTTTTGACATTTGAAATAGATATCTTAAAAGTACTTCATTGAGCTTTATATCACATTAAGCCCTAATTAGTGACTCTCCATTGCTTTAATATTCTGAAACTAGCCACAAAACATTTAATCTTTTACCTGCAAAAAAATCTACTGTGGTCTCTTATTTGTAAGCATAACTTGTTATGTCTTACATCTGGAAAAAATATATATATTTTGTACAGAAATGAGTCTGTTCATACAGATGTGGTTTAACATTTGCATTACTTCTTGTCAACTTTTCATCAGTAAAGGACTCTTACGCAGAATCTCTAAATAAGCACCATATTTTGATTACTGAAAGAGAACATAGTATTGTATTTGATGCTATCCCATCTGGTTTCTTGGTGTCATTAAGAGAAGTTGACCATCCTTTCCAGTTTAAGAAATCTCTGGCAAACTCAGTTCCTAAGTATCTAGAAGGCATTAATATCAGAATTAATTCTTAATTTCAATTAAATATTGTCTCAGTCTTTTTGTCCTGTTGGAACATTTTTGTGCAAAATCTTCATTGGGTAAAAATCTGGTATCTTTGACAAAAAAGTTTTCTCACTAATAAAGTACGTTAGATTAAAACCATGGATGTTTCTCTATATGATCTGCTTTGATTCTTACAGAAATATACCGAAAGGCATCAGTAGATATTGCTTGCTCTTTCTCTAAACTTTACCCAGACAGAATTATTCATCTTTTTTTAATTGGTTACAAAATGTCTTATTATACATTATTGCTCTGATCTCTACTAATATTAAACCTAATTTTGTTGATTTTGTTTGTGTTTTGAAGATGTTTTACTTAGCCTTACATACGTCAATCATAGAGATTTCCATGTTTTATTCTCTATTTGATTGTGTTTTTGGAAAAGGTTCATGTGCACAAAAATAAAACAATGACATAGAAACCACTTCTTAACCTCTTTGTTAAAGGCTTCAAACTTGCAGTGTAAAGGTTATGAAGACTTAAAATTCTGTTAATGCATTCAAACATTTTAAATTACATTCATGTGGGTCATTTAAAAAAAAAATCCTTAGTTTTGTTATTTATCATGGTGCATCAATCTATATCTATATCCGTTCTGGGGAAAAAAGCTGTTCAAATAAATCTCTTTGTTAAGGAAAATGGCAAGAACAGTGTGAAAGAAAATAAGGCTAGATATTATTATAGTATTCAAATGGAGTGATTTTATGAATGTATTAAGACTAAAGAAAGAGGAGAATATTGTAAAAAGGATGAAATCTGGTTACACATATTTTAGAAATTCCTCAAACGAAAAGATATGTTGGATAGAACATAGTTTAGGTGTATTAACTACAATTATTTTAATGATTGAAATAATTAATAAGCATAATACAGGTTGTTGTAATTATTGTGGAAAATTATAAACAGTACAACATTTTTTTTAGAATGTAATAGATATGTTCAAGAAAGAAAGATGTTACTTATAGATTAAAATAGGAATAAAAAATGAATTAGATATGGGGAAATAGGGTCATTCTGATTCAGACTCCTCACCAGTTGGTGGCGGTAATGCACACCGAAAAGTTGGTTTGCCACCGCCATAAAAATAAGAGAAGAACCACCAAAAAGAAGAGAAGAAGAAAGATGGAAGGCGCGAACATGGCGGAAAATGAAAGAGTAAACATCAATAACCTCGAACTTCAGAAGATTGTAAACCGATGGATAGTGGATTATTACTTTTCTGTGGCGGTGGAGTTCTTTAAAAACCATCAATATGCGGACTTTTGTGGCGTTAGAACCATATTGGACAGTAAGTACCTTAACTAGCTTAAACTTTGCTAGCCTGTCGTGCTTGCCCGTTGGAAGTTTGAGGTCAGCAAATAATAACAAACTGTTACTTTTTGAGGATGGACGGTCCTTTGGTGTGTGTGTAAGTCTCGCGCATTTTGATTTTTTTTTTTTTTTTGGCGTGGCAACTGCAAAGCCTAAATAAAACTATGAGCATAGTGAATATTCTGGGTTGACTTAGTTATCCTAGTTCAGATTCACCAGTATGCATAAATTAATCTGGAAATGATTGTTTTGTTTTAAGATATAGATAAGTGTGGCTTTTTATGTAATTTAAATTTGAACGTTTAAGACACTGACAACCTTAAACACACGTCTTTCATTATTATTAGTCAAACTTTTCTTTTACATTACTATGCAAAGATCATTTTCAACCCCAAGCCTGGTCTTTTCTGTTGGGTTTCATAGCTAAATATTGGTTCTATATTCCACCTTTTCTGATCCTTCAAGACATCAAGTCATCCTGGCAGCCCTGAGTTGCTCAGTTGGTTTTAATGCATGGAGGTGGAATAACACATTGTCTCTAGATCACAATCATTATCACCTTTGTGACTCATTTTCTAGCTTTTAATTCTTTACCATAGAGGACCAGGAGAGTCACTGAAAAACAAAAACAGCCATTTATTCAACTTTTAAATCTTAAATTATAAATTGCACATTTTAAATTCAGTTATGAAAGATGAGTTAGATGTTGCATTTATTAATCCATTATTAAATACTGCAGTTTGAAAATGTATTTTTAATCCTATATCTAGAGATTTTAAAATACATGTATCTGTTCATAATACTTTTCCTAATCACACATTTAAAAGGGGATTTCCATATTCCATTTCTAATTTTCTTTCTCACTTTACATTTTCAAATTCTTTTAGCATTTGCATTTATTTTTACTTTCCCCTCTACATTTACTTCACCCTTCTGGTCTTTAAAGGAATAGTACACCCAACACATGATTAGCCTTCATTTTCTACTCACCCCCATGCTGAACAACACTCTGGAGTACTTTTTTGATATCTCAAATGCATCTGGAGATCTGGGAGGCTTCTTGCTGTCTGCTGACATTCAAATAATGGAGGTCTATGGTGCCCGAGGCAGAAAGGTCCATAAAAGTCCACAAAAAACGTGTCAATATTCCTCCATACTGCTTGTCCAATGTATTCCAAGTGTCCTGAGTGGGTAGCATCCAGAATTTACTCGAAACAAAGTCATTTAGAATGTTTTTAGAGCATAAACAGTAGTGTATAGGATTTCCTGAAAGCGCGCGCCTGCGAGTTCACGACGCTACGGAAACCGCGGCAGACCAAACCAGATGAAAGTGCGCATTCAGCTCGGCAAAGAACTCATGCTCTTCCTCAACACTGAAGTCCTCAGACATTTTTCTTTCGTTGTTTCTTTCTTTGCACAGGTAAACAGCACATTTCTTCTTCTACGCTTGCATTATCGGCAGAGCAGACGCTGAATGCGCACTTTCATCTGGTTTGGTCTGCCGGTTTCCGTAGCGTCGTGAACGCGCAGGCGCACGCTTTTAGGAAATCCTATACACTACTGTTTATGCTCTAAAAACATTCTAAATGACTTCGTTTCGAGTAAATTCTGGATGCTACCCACTCAGGACACTTGGAATACATTGGACGAGCAGTATGGAGGAATATTGACACGTTTTTTGTGGACTTTTATGGACCTTTCTGCCTCCGGCACCATAGACCTCCATTATTTGAATGTCAGCAGACAGCAAGAAGCCTCCCAGATCTCCAGATGCATTTGAGATATCAAAAAAGTACTCCAGAGTGTTGTTCAGCATGGGGGTGAGTAGAAAATGAAGGCTAATCATGTTTTGGGTGTACTATTCCTTTAAGCACATTGAAAACCTGTTAAAAAGGTAATCCCTTATTACACTTTCAAATCCTTTTTGCAGTTGCCTGTTATTAGTATTATTATTATTTATGTTATTTATTTATTTATTTTTTGTCTGTTTGTGAACCAAGTGTGGCTGTCTAACCAATGAGAGAGTTGGTTACATCTAAGGAGCAAATTTGATTAGTTTAATTTGTTCTCAGTGTGACCAGAAGGGTCCAAAGGGTCCACTAAAGGTAAAAAACAAACAAACAAGAAAAAAACAACTCCATAAAGGATTTTAAATTGTTATAAGGGATTATCTTTTTAAATGCGTAGGAAAGGTATTTATAATAAATTTTTGGAATTGTGTTTTTTAAATCCCCATTTACAAATTATCAAATTAAAATATGCAATAAGAATATGCTTCCAAATTAGTTTGCTACATGTATCATCTGGTTTCTCACTAATTAATGGGAGAGAACCCATGATGGATGTGGATTACTGAGTAAAAATGATATTTTTCTCCTCAGATGTCCTTGAACGTCCAACTGAATCCGTTGATGACATGTTGTTAAAGCTCAGGGTGTTGCAGTTCCTCTCACGCATAAATGAAGGCGACAAACTTAGTGAGTTATTTGTTTTTATTACTCTCATTGAATAAATGACTAGCATTTTATGTGAAATGTGACCAATGTGAAATTAGTCGGACTGATATGAATTCATCGTCTCTTTCTGAGCCACAGCGAAGCATTCATCCTTTTCGTTTTTGTCCTCCAAGCCCTGCTTTAACTGTTATTACTTGTCCTCAGATGCTTTGTTTGATCCAGATCAGTCAAAAACTTCTCTGGAATCGGCCCTAGATTTGCTGGAAAACATGAGAACAACTTTCCAAATTCCTCATAGGGATATTGACTCTGCATCCACCATAATTAAAGAGATGGTAAGTGTTTTCTTTTTCTTTTATTAATATTATTTCATACATTTAAATTTTTGGTTAATGGGTAATTTACGTAAAGGCACCTAAAGCCAAGAATCTATTCACAGCTACTGAAAACCACCCCCAAAGCATGATGCTGACACCAGCATGCTTCAGCCATGCTAAGCCAACTTTATTCATAAATCCCTTTAAAAACACCAGGCACTAACCCAAGTGTCCAACAAAAGGGATGAATTACTGAAAATTTCAATTTAGGAACAAATGGAGTTATAAAAGATGAAATAAAAGAAAAAAAATCCACATAAATGTAGCAATATGGATAAGAAGTACATTTGAATACCACCTCATACTGCTAAAAAAAACAAACAAACAGAAGAGATGGCTTTTTAGGGTGAGTCTTAAGAGCAGATTTCAAAGTGTCTATGGAAGAGGCTTTTTCTAAATAACAGCAGCAAAGCATTCCATAGTTTGGTAGATGCAGAGACGAGAAGAGCAATCCCCTTGAGCTTCAGTTGCTTCACTGTTGGTATGATATCATCCTGGTGATTAGTTGTGTCTGATCTCCAAAAAGGATGCCTGCTGTTCACTCAAAAGAATTCAATCTTTGTCTCATCAGGCCAGAGAATTTTGTTAGTCGTGGTCTGAAGGTCCTTTAGGGGCCTCTTGGCAAACTCCAGATAAGCTGCCTTGTTCTTTAGATTAAGGAGTAGACCTCTTCTGGCCTATTTACCTTACAGGTCTGAGTTAGGGGTGTAAATCACATTCATCATGGCAAATCAATTCAGTGTCAATTTCCTGACCCAACGATTCGATTATTTTGGATACTCTAGAATACACCACGATACTATTCGATTAATTATTTTTTTTTACACCTTACAGACTAGACAATGTTTCAAATTTGAAATAAATCAATGAAAGCTGTATTATTTTTATGCATTTTTTTTTTTTAGAAACAACAGCAAATGAAAGAAGTAGAAAAATTGGACTCCACCTATTCCTATTAAAACCTCATTAACTGAAAAATAATAATACCCCAGTTATAGATTCTGAAAGGCCTTGCATCAAAAAATAAAAAAAAAATACTGCACAAGGCGGCTTGTTTTGTTTCTATGACCGAAATTGCGGCAAACAACTCGTGAAATTTGACCCATTAGAAGAGCGAGGTGCGTGAGAACGCTGGAAGCCTTTTTCCACCTGGATCTCTGCTCTTTTTGGCCCTCATGTCCCTCCGCCGTCGGACTAAACTCTCGCCCACTTCCTCACCGCCTCGGCCGTATCTAGACCCACAGTGTATAGCACAGACCATGCTTCCATATTGGGCATAAATCAAACATATCTGTGTCAAGCTTACTGCAACATACTGCTGTAAGAGTATAACCAGGAAGCGAGGTAGGAGAGCAAAATAGGTTTAGCGCCACCGCAGCACGGGAGGGAGAATTACGCCCAGGAGCAAATGTATAAAAATAGACCCGAGGGGGAAAAAAACATGAATCGATACTCTTGTGGACGTATCGATGCATTGGATCGTCGGCTTTTGGATCGTGCATCGATACAAAACGATTACGGTATTATTAACACCCCTAGTCTCAGTGGTGGTCAGCTGCAGAGATGGTTCTTGATCGCCTCCCTAACTAATGCTCTTCTCCCCCAAGTGCTTTAGCTGTCTCTAGGAAGAGTCCTGGTGGTCCCAAACTTTTCATTTACAAATGATTTAGGCCACTATGCTCATTGGAACCTGTAAAGCAGCAGAAATCTTTGTTTTTCCAGATTTGTTCCTTTAAGAAACACTAGTCTCAGAGGTCTGTAGACAGTGCCTTTGATTCCATGCCTGATGTTTGTTCTCTGAGGTGCATGGTCAGCCAAGGGACCATGGCTCTAGGCAAGAGGAAACTTTTTGTCATTCGGAAAGGGAAGAAATCAATCTCCTAAAATTTGGAATAAGGCTATAGCAAATTTTGGAAATAATGCAGCGCTGTGAATACTTTCTGGATGCACTGTTTTTTGTTGATTCAAAAATATATCTTCTCCTTTATAACATGAAAAAGATGAGTGTGTGTTAAAACCAAAAACTATTCTGATCTAACAAATAATGTTTTGCTGTCTTTAGATCGTGGGGACATACATAAAGAATGAATTATTTAATAAAGCACAAGAGGCACTCGCTCTGTACCTTCCCAAACCAGGGAATCAAAAGGTAAGTCCTCCTGATCAGTGTTGAACCTGCTTCTCTTCTGCAGTTATGTTTTTCATCCAGTTTGGTTAATAAGCAAACTAATTTGGCAAATTATTGTTTATTATGGTGTTGTTGTAGTCTACAGAGGAAGTTTGATCCAAACACATCTGAATCTACAACCTTGTAAATAAAGCATTTTGTTCAATGTAAGCAAATAATCACCTACACTAGTAGGTAGATTTGTAAGTAAAGTAGACACTGTTGTTCAGATACAATCAACCTTATCATGAACTTGAGCTGCACAATCATGGAAAATTAAGTTTCTATATATTGTTAATAGATTTTCATTGTTTCTGTTTTTCCCATCTCTTCCCATTTATCTCCACCAAGGTTATGTTTTTAGGGTAGTTTGTGTTTGTTTGTCTGTGTACAGGGTAACTTGAAAAGTTATGGAGAGATTTTTAAGGAAATGTCTATCAGAGGTGTCCCTCATGCCAAGGAACAATAGAATACACTTTAGTGATATCCAGGTCATAATCTGAATACAGGAGTATGTTAAAAGATTCCCTAACTTTATGTGATGGGCATATTTTATGGAACAATAAATTTGTCACTAAATCAGAGGGGGGCAGCAGAGACTATTGACAGGCTCAGCATCGGACCCAAAAAGACTGCAGGTATTTTACTGAAGACAAAAACACAAGAAAATAAAAAATTATTGGTTTTGTTTTGCAGGATCAATCGAAAACTGATGAACAGATCTCATAGCCTTTTTTTTTCACCAGAGGTGTATCTGATGCCAAGGAACAATTCATTTAAAGTTGGTTATGATCCAGATCATGTTTGAGTTTTAGCTAATTTTGCTGATTGGTGGAGGTCTGCGCTCTCCGAGTGCTTTCTTAGTTACTTTATTTATGTCTCCACCAATCTCCGTTAGCCTCATCATCTCAGCCTAAACATTCTCGATTAGTTTCAGTCACAATGGCCATAAAAATCTGTTCTGGATTTTTAGTATTTTGGTAAGAATATGTTTGAAAATAATGTATTTGAATCAATTGCAGTAACTTTCACTAAACGAAACCCAATTTGATGGACTGTTTTCAAGCATTTAATTTATCATAATTTTGCTCCTCTGGCTAATGTTAACGTAACGAAATTAGAATATTACATCTGTCCAATAAAAAATACAATTTTAAAGAGATGTGGGTTTAAGAAGACAAAGTGTGTTTAATGCCTCTTTAAAGGTTATATTTTAAAGGTCCCGTTAATCTGACAAAAAGCCTCATTAGAGAAAATATGAAGACTTTTTTCTATGCATATTATTTGCAAACAAATCTTGGATCATTTTTATATAATAACCTTCAAAATATTACATTTGAATATGCTGAAACAAGATTACATACTCTTAAGAATCTGTCCCATTTGCATTTTGATTTTAAGCCTAAATATGATTCCAGCACAGGGTGTGATAAGCAGCCAAAGGTGCTGTTTGAGGCTGGACCAAAGTATGCAGAGGAGCTGTCCAATACAGAACTGGATATGAGCTCAGGAATTCATGTTTGATTCAAATCTTCAAGAGAAAAATAGATTAAATATTAAATACCTATAAATATTAGCAGTTTCTATCTAATGTTTGTTGCAACATATCAAAATCTCATTCTCCATAGAGGGACATATTCAGCCGTCTCATCCGTCAGCAGAGGAGCACGCACAAGATCATCGACCAGCTCAACTTTCCACAGTTTAAGACGGAGATGCTGCAGTTTTGCCAGCAGATCTGTCGCTTTACCGTCCCGTACCTTCACAAGGTGGACTCACTGAATTATACTAAAAAATGTTTTGTGTTTTGTTTTGCTTATAATTACATACCGGTAATTACCATATTAAGAAATTCTATCATTTAAAGCACAATAAACAACTTTTATTCCTTTGAAATTGCAAAGTATTTATAGATGGATCATACATGCCTACACACACACAGACACAGTGGGGCCAAAAGGTATTTAGTCAGCCACTGATTGTGAAGTTCTCCTACTTAAAATAATAAGAAAGGTCTGTCATTTTCATTATTGGTACACTTCAACTATGAGAGTCGAAATGAGAGAAAGTAATCACATTGTAGGATTTTAAAATAATTTATTCACTCAGTAAATAACACATTCATAAATTAAAGTTTACAATCATTTAGCGTAAATAAGACACCTTCATAATCCCAAATGTTCCGAAGAGATATTTAGTTAATCCACTTTTGAACAATGTTTATATTCAAACATCACTCTTGCTCTAACCATGCTCTTTTTGGACTGGGAGGAAGCCGGAGTACCTGGAGAGAACACACGCATGCTCAGGGAAAACTTGCAAACTCCATGCAAGGGATAGATAGATGGATGGATAGATAGGACAGACAGACAGGGTCCAATACATATATAAAATTAGGAAGCATTGATATTAATTTTTGGTTGCGAGACTAAGGCCAAAGCAGCTTATGTTTGAGAAAAACTTCTTTACCCTCTTCCAAAATTTCTTGCGGGTTTGACTTCAACCAGATGTGAGGGATCTTTACAGCTTGTTAAGTTTGTGTTATCCTGGACATGGAGTTTGGTGTCTTCAGACTTTTTTGAGAGTTTTTCCTCAGTATTTAGTTGTTTGTCCATCGCCACACACCTGGAACTGGGTGGTGATGCTTGTTTCTGTTCAAAAAGACTAACTGATGCTGGTAATCTTTTGTGGAACAGGGGTGGGTCCAAATTAGGCTTCAATAAGGAGGAATCGACTGTAAAACCTGTATGTTCTGATAAGCTACTCTTTATTCTCTCTTGTTGATCACTTAAATGAGATGAAAGTTGAGATTGCTTAGGTATAGTCAAAATAACGGGATTAAATGTGACAGTTTTAGACCTTTTCTTTATTTCCACCACGTTTTTGATGGAACTACTAGTCATTATTGTTCCCTTCTTAAGTGGAATGCTCAGCATTTTCTCTTGTTGATCACCACAATCAGTTTGCTGTTGATTATTAGTCGGGAAGATGGTTGTTGATTCATCTTTCAGGTCAGAGGTCTCTGATGAAAATGGGTATCTGATAATAGGTGATTCTGTGTATAAACCTGACTGAATCTCTGTGTTTTTTTTAGGAGAGGGGGTCCCGCTGCACAAACTTGATGAGGTCCTGCCATATGAATCCACTGACGAGCTGTCTTTGCATTTTCCAGTCTCTTACAGGCAGGGTAGTCAGTCTCTGAACTACGATTAAGGCTCTCCTGTTTGAAGTTCTTACCAGGAACGATATTAACTGTCGGTGGGGCATAGTTGCTTGAACGTTCAATGTAAATATTGCTGCCAGACAAGGAGCTTTGTTTTTTCTGAATTGGCAATCGTAAATGACTCAGGACTGGTCATCTGTGTTTTCTGACATAATGTTTTGCCTCCGAACGATTCTGATGTCATTAATTTGTACACTATCAGCTATCATTGGTCCAAAAGAATTCTGGATGGTCAGTATTTTACCCATCGGAGATGAAACAATGACCGTATTACCTGTTGGCGGGGCACAGTTGCCTGGACAGACACAGTAATTGTTGCCTGGAAGGACACAGTAATTGTTGCCTGGACTGACACAGTAATTGTTGCCTGGACAGACACAGTAATTGTTGCCTGGACAGACACAGTAATTGTTGCCTGGAAGGACACAGGAATTGTTGCCTGGAAGGACACAGTAATTGTTGCCTGGAAGGACACAGTAATTGTTGCCTGGACAGACACAGTAATTTTTGCCTGGACAGACACAGGAATTGTTGCCTGGAAGGACACAGGTATTGTTGCCTGGAAGGACACAGGTATTGTTGCCTGGAAGGACACAGGTATTGTTGCCTGGAAGGACACAGGAATTGTTGCCTGGAAGGACACAGGTATTGTTGCCTGGACAGACACAGGAATTGTTGCCTGGACAGACACAGGAATTGTTGCCTGGAAGGACACAGGAATTGTTGCCTGGAAGGACACAGGAATTGTTGCCTGGACAGACACAGGTATTGTTGCCTGGACAGACACAGGTATTGTTGCCTGGACAGACACAGGTATTGTTGCCTGGACAGACACAGGAATTGTTACCTGGACAGACACAGGAATTGTTGCCTGGACAGACACAGGAATTGCTGCCAGAAGAGGAGGTTTGTCTTTCTTCAGGGTTGTATGTGGCTCCCAACCTTTCTGATGTCACGAATTTGTAAGTTCTCATTGTCTCATGGGCTTCAAGGGCATAAGAGCTGCTGCTGTCAAAGTTAGACAAATGGTCCATGGTAATAAAGTTGTGTTTAAGTGCAGCTGCTGAGGTAATGCGTTCCTGTGGTGTAGGAACTAGCATTTGCTTTAGAAAATCTATGAAACTTAGTAAATCCTCCCTTTCAGTGGGGTCTTGTGTTGCTGGACAGATTTCCAGCAGGTCGTCCAAAGACTGCAGCTTCAGCACTGGATCATATGTATATATGTGTGTGTGTGTGCATTTGTGTGTGCATGTACATATATTTATATGTGTGTGTGTGTGTGTGTGGTATATGTATATAAAAAAATTTTTTTTATTTATTTTTTGTGTATGTTTTAAACAGGCTGCAAAGATGCTTCTTTTGCAAAGAATCAAAGTACAACATGATGAGACAGCTGGAGTTGATGAGCAAGAGGAGCCTAGTCCTTCCTCTTGCCTACAAACAAACACAGTTCGGCTCACATCAAGGTGAGGCTTCCTTCTTTGAGAAGTTACCAATTTTATCAGTTTTATAACTTTTGTAATTATGCACAAAGGTTTACACTGCATTAAGAATTAAATCTGATTCTCCATGTCTGGGAAAGTATTAAAATTGAATATGATTGTATTTGTTGATTTTACTAATTTTATTCACTGTCTGATTTGATTGCTTAACAAACAAAAACCTTTGTGTTCCAACCAAGATTTTTTTTTTTTTTTTTAATAAAAGATTAAATTTTCCTATTCCTACATCGGTTATCCAGCCTGTCTTTCAGCACATCGTCTGTCTGTCCATTTGTCGCTTTTCAGCCTATGCTCTTATCATTTTTTTTTTTTGCCTTTCATTGTCTTTGTTTTTTAACTATAAGCATCAATTTTGACCAGGACCTGCTGTTGGAATCCTTCACACTCATTTTTGTTTTCTGTCATCTTTCAGAAAGTATCAAATCATCCAAAAAGCTAGTCTTGAAATTGCCTACAAAGCCTTAGCTGAGGGGTTGGAAGAAAAAACATTTTCTGAGCTGGAGGAAGAAGTGGAGGCTGAAGCTCAGGAAGGGGTTTGCCTTTGCCAGCAACGCTCACTTGATCCAAAGAGAGGTGACGATCAGAGCCTAGACCAAGAAGCAGGGCTTCAGAGAGACTCCTGCGGCCCTATGGAAGCTTCCCCAGCGGAACAGCCACCGCAGAGAGACGCAGAGCAGCAAGATCAGACAGGGTCATTATATACTGTGGCCCGCTTGGTAGTTGAACCAGACAGCCAGGTGAGCACACAGTACTCAATAGCTGCAGAAGAGCTGGAGAGGAGGGCAGAAAAACCTCCACAGACGCCACCAACAAACAACAGCTCACAGGGTCCACTTACTGAAAAACAGGTAGAAATTCCCACAAGAATCCCAAGGCAAACTAATGGAACACAAACAAGGTTAGTTTAATGCCAAAAAACAATATTTTTTATTGCTAGTTGCAACTTTTACACCCTCCCCCACAATATGTCTACCATCAGTTCCATTTTTAAGGACTGTGTTTCTCAGGGAATGCTTAAAAAAAATTGTTTTGCAGAACTTTGAGAAGTTTTGCTGAGTGCTCTTCAGACAGTGAGGATGACTCCCTCCACACTTCTATCCATAAAGACCCAGCTGGTCAACTCCATGACCAGTCCAATAAGTCATCCAGCAGGTAAGTCTAGATGTTCAGTGTCACCTGCTTTTGGAATTGTCATAGAAAAAGATGCTTTGTTCTGTTTTGGTACTGATGAACAATTGCTGTATTATTCACTTTAATATGACTTATCTTGTTCTATTTTTAGAATTTAATTGAATGGGGAAGTACTGATAGAACTTTTTCATTTCTGATACGATAGCAAAATTGCAGCGTTTCCTGCCCCAAACATTTCTTTTTTCTTCTGTAATTTTTCCACTATGGACCTTCATCGCATCGTACTTTGGTTTTGGTGGTCATCTTTTTTTAAGGGCTCAGCTGTACCTTATGCTAAGCAGTGATGGGAGTAACGGCGTTACTAACACTGTTACCTTTTTTTAGTAACGAGTAATTATAACGCAGTTACCCTTGCCGACAACCCGTTACTGCACGTTACTCAGGTCGCACAATTAACCTTTTTTTTTCATGATAGGACTCGTGCGCGCCTTGTCATGAGAGAGGGGAGGATGAGATTGGCTCATGTATAGTGAGATTACGTCTGTCATTCGGGTAGGTGGGTGTTTCCGCCGGCGGGTGTTAACGTACGGCACACACAGAGATGGAGAGTGAGGAGGACTCCAGCAGCAAAACAGCGTTTTCCAGATGGAAATACTGGTGTTACGTCAAGCTGCGTTTCCCCATCAGATACGGTTACCCCTGCATCTCCGCACAGCGCAGGCGAGACGATTCACCGCGCAAGCGACAGGAAACGCGCATGCTAGCTAAAGGCGCGTAACAGCCGCCCTGTGCTTGTGCAACAGTGGAACTACAGATAGCGTGAACAATCAAATGTTAGCCTATATGGAGAAAGGGAGATGGATATAGATAAATGGATAGATAAGTGCCCTGTTAAAAAACTTCACATCCATGAGTAGAGGTAATGCAGCCTGATGATATTTACATCGCAAAAGATACCATTCCCCCATGTTAAGAAGAGGGGAACGCTATCTGACGGGGTTTATAAGCCCGTCAGATAGCGTTCCCCCCTGATGTCATTTAAGTTGAGTTGTAATAAATGCAAAACTCTCTGCAGGTTCTTGTCTTTGTCGTCCACTCTATTCAGCTGGCTTTTAAAACACACGGCGAGAAGGTGGGGGCTGGGTGGTGAGGGATATTGGGTCAAGAAACGCAAAGTAACGCAATAGTTACCTTTACTAGTAACTAGTTACTTTTAGTGTGGAGTAACTCAGTTACTTTTTGGGAGAAGGAACTAGTAACTATAACTAATTACTTTTTCAAAGTAACGTGCCCAACACTGATGCTAACGCTCCTTTGCTACAGGGGTAGAGGGCAGGATGAAATGTTCATCCACACATTAACCCTTTATAGTGTAAATTACCATTTTTTAACACTTGCATACCCCATAAAAATGGAGTCCCCTCTGTCTTTCAGTTAGGTCTTGAAGCACAAAATCTATATCCAGCCATTCAGCAAAGATTCTGCTACATGGCTGTACATCTTATTTTGGCATTTAAACAATTAGATAAGCCCTTGAATCATATATTACCTACTGTAAATTAAATTGAAAGAAAAGTTAAAAAGTAAAGTTAAAAAATTAATAAGCCTAAATAAACAATTATTTTAAGGTTTATAATCTAAAAAATGTAAGTGCATGTATCAGCATTAAAGTCTCTAAGCTTATGTTGAAGAAAAATTTTTCTTTTAGTCTCAGTGTTTTTCATGAATTTTAATTAGAAGCACTTTTATTTTTCTTAATATATTCGGCAAGTAGGTGTTTAATTTTTGACATCAAAATAACCATATTTTTTAATGTTCCAAAGGTGACAAGATTAGATTACTAGATCATCAGCTGATGTTATGACATTAAATGCAGCATCATTCTTAACACACTGTTAGACCGTAAGCTTTGGGAGGTGCTTCCATCTTTTGAATAGGATCAGTTACCTGTTTGCCGTTGCATACTATATTCTCTCAGCACCGAAGCCTGATACAGTAGAACAGACACATCAGAGAAAACCCTTCCTTAATTTACAAAACTGATTTACTTTCACAATAGAAATTCCAACAGATCCAGTGTATCATCAGAACATGAAGAAGAGCAACAGGAGAAGTTGAACACCTCCAGATCTCCAATGAAGAGAGCTGATGAACAACCATCCAGAGGTTCTCCCAGTTGGTAAGTTGAGTTGCGTTTAATATCTTTTGATTGGGTCTAAAATATTGGTGCACTCAAGAGTCTCTGTGGCAAACCTTTGGCTCCTTTCTATCCAGTGAGGTAGACAGCATCGAAAGTTTACCAGACTCTCCGTTGGACATCTCCCCAAATACGTCCTCTCATCAGGTCCCTCAAAAAAACTCCACTCCTCACAAAGGTGCTAACAGAAAATTGTAAGTAAAGAGATGAAACGGCAATGTAAAACAGCTAATAGGCTGCTGTTAGTAATAGTGTAAAATGTGTATTCATCTTTATCTGGACCTGTCATTTTGTCATGCTGGTTTCAAAATATATATATATAAAAAAAAAAAATCTCAACAATTGGAAACCTGTTCTTGTTCACAGAAAACTCCTAATGAAAAATGCAGAAGGGAGCAAGGTTGAATGGAAGGACGAAGAATCCTTTTTCCCCTCCTTAGGGAACAGTGGTAATACTTCCTTAACCATCAGAATCTAATCAGTCTTCATCAGGCTGTTCAAATCTGACTCTTAATAATAATTGCGTTTGTTTTATTTTTTTTTTATAAAGGTTCAAATTCAGGAAAAAGGAAAAGGGTAAGCATGACATTGCCTGAGATTTGCTGTAACAGTGATTTTAAAAATGATCTGCCAAAACCAAATTTGGAGTGAAATCCTGTGTTGTGAAAAAGGTTCTTACTCATTTTTCATATCATGTTTTTGTCACTATATATGAAAAGGTGTCTCCCTTTTTGAAAAAAAAACTTATTTAGTTTATTCATAGGGTTTATCCCCTTTTCCACGTTTTTTTTTACCAGTTCCAGTCAGAAAAATTAAAGGAACACTTTTAAAACACATCAGATCTCAATGGGGCAAAAAAACATACTGTTTTTTTTATACTGATATGGAATGGGTGATGTGTTAGGAACAGAAGGATGCCACACCATTTGATGGAAATGAAAATTATAAACTTACAGAGGGCTGAATTCAAAGACACCCTAAAAATTACAGTGAAAAAATGATGCGGCAGGCTAGTACATTTTGCTGAAATTTCATTGCAGCAACTCAAAATGGTATTTAGTCATTTGTATGGCCCCCACGTGCGTGTCTGCATGCCTGACAACGTCAGGGCATGCTCCTAATGAGACGACGGTTGGCACCGGGTATCTCCTTCCAGATCTGGACCAGAGCATCACTGAGGTCCTGGACAGTCTGAGGTGCAACCTGGCGGCCTCGGATGTATCGAAACATAATGTCCCAGAGGTGTTCTATTGGATTTAGGACAGGGGAGCGTGGGGGCCAATCAATGGTATCAACTCCTTCATCCTCCAGGAGTGCCTGCATACTCTCGCCACATGAGGCTGGGCATTGTCGTTCACCAGGAGGAACCCAGGACCCACTGCACCAGCATAGGGTCTGACAATGGATGCAAGGATTTCATCCTGATACCTAATGGCAGTCAGGGTACCGTTGTCCAGCCTGTACAGGTCTGTGTGTCCCTCCATGCCTCCCCAGAGCACAGGGTCCACTAGAGGATGTCGGGCCCTCAGGCCACCCTCATGAAGTCTGTTTCTGATTGTTTGGTCAGAGACATTCACACCAGTGGCCTGGAGGTCATTTTGTAGGGCTCTGGCAGTGCTCCTCCTGCACCTTCTTGCACAAAGGAGCAAATACCGGTCCTGCTGATGGGTTGTAGACCTTCTATGGCTCTGTCCAGCTCTCCTGGAGTAACTGCCTGTCTCCTGGAATCTCCTTCATGCTCTTGAGATTGTTCTGGGAGACACAGCAAACCTTCTGGCAATGGCACGTAGTGATGTGCCATCCTGGAGGAGTTGGACTGCCTGTGTAACCTCTGTAGGATCCAGGTAGCGCCTCATGCTAACATTAGTGACAGTGACCCTAGCCAAATGCAAAACTGATGAAAAAGAGTCAGAAAAGATGAGGGAAAAAAATGTCAGTGGCCTCCACCTGTAAAACCATTCCTTTTTTTTTTGATGGTCGTCTCATTGTTGTCCCTCTACTGCACCTGTTGTTAATTTCATTAACACCAAAGCAGCTGAAACTGTAAGTTCTGCTACTTACCTGACCAAATCAATATCCCAGAAGTTTAATTAACTTGATGCTATACTCTGATTACAAAGTGTTCCTTTATTTTTTTTGAGTATTGTGTGTATATGTATGTGTGTATATATATATACATATATATATATATATATATACACATATTAGTACAGAACGTTGAGAAGTTCTTTTGGTACAGTACAGAACAAAAATTTGGACACACCTCATTCAAAGAGTTTTTTTATTTTATTTTCATGACTATGAAAATTGTACATTCACATTGAAGGCATCAAAACGATGAATTAACCCATATGGAATAATATACTTAACAAAAAAGTGTGAAACAACTGAAAATATGTCTTATATTCTAGGTTCTTTAAAGCCACCTTTTGCTTTTATTAATGCTAACCACACTCTTTGCATTCTCTTGATGAGCTTCAAGAGGTAGTGCCCTAAAATGGTTTTTACTTCACAGGTGTCCCCTGTCAGGTTTAATAAGTGTGCTTTCTTGCCTTATAAATGGGGTTGGGAACATCATTTGTGTTGAATTCAGGTGGATACACAGCTGATAGTCTTACTGAATAGACTGTTAGAATTTGTATTATGGCAAGAAAAAAAAAACTGCCGAGTAAAGAAAAACGAAGGGCCATCATTACTTTAAGAAATGTAAGTCAGTCAGAAAAATTGGCAAAACTTAGCATCTTTGGGAACTCCTTCAAGACTGTTGGAAGACCATTTCAGGTGACTATCTCTGGAGGCTCATCAAGAGAATGCAAAGAGTGTGGTTAGCATTAATAAAAGCAAAAGGTGGCTTTAAAGAACCTAGAATATAAGACATATTTTCAGTTGTTTCTCACTTTTGTTAAGTATATAATTCCACGTGTTAATCTTTAGTTTTGATGCCTTCATTGTGAATCTACAATTTCCATTGTCATGGAAATAAAGAAAACTCTTCGAAGGTGGTGTGTCCAAACTTTTGAGCAAACATTTTAATTTCGGAAGGTTACATCCACAACATGAAGAACAAATGTTTGTTTTTTGTTTTGTTTTTTAAGCTTTTCAAAGCAACAGAAAGCTCACCAACTTTTTTCATGAAATTGTTGCAGGAGTGGACTGAGAAAGAGACGGAGATGCTAAGAGAAGGGGTCAAGAGGTTTGGAGAGGGTAACTGGAGCAGGATCAAGGCTCACTTCCCCTTTAAAAAACGAACCAACGTGAACCTGAAAGACCGGTGGAGGACAATGAAAAAGAAAAACTTGGTTTAAGTTGATTTTGTTCATTCATTCCCGAGGCCATTTGGGGGGTTTATGGTCTGAAAACTGTGATAAAATTAATTCAAATAAAGTCATGGTTATACAATGTCTCTTTCCAACAACATAAAATAATTAACAGGATTTGAATTTGTTATTGTTTTCTGCTGACTTGTATCGAAAAAAATGTTAAGACTAAATTTAGACATTCATTTTCTAGTCATCTTTACCACTTAAAGCACTTTGCTTTCTCCTAGAAGCACTCCAGCACATCTAGATCAGGATCATTGTTAAGTGCCTTGCTAGGGGAACATTGACCGGCATGAGGAAGAAGCTGGAATCAAGCCTACAATTTTCTGATTTTGAGATAACCACTGAAACACTAACCAAAGAAAAAAACAAAAAATGCTTAAATAATTACCGTATGTTAAAGGACCTTTAGAAAAGCCTTGCACTTGCAGATTTTCTGTCTTTGTTGTTACCCTGACTTAACTTGTGGTTCTCCAGACATCAGGTATAATATAGAAGTTCATTCACTCCAAGTTTCTCCTAGAGATGTGGTAAAGTAAATCAGTGCTACTTTATTACTGATTTATTAAGATAAAAACATTTAGAAAAAGATCCTCACATAAAACTACCTTTAGTTGGATGTTTTAATGGAAAGACTCTATGAAAGACCCACAATTACAGATTTCCAAAGTAAAACAAATAAACACAGATGTTAAGTATTACACACCAACAAGAACGTGGCACTCTTTTACATCTACATTACAAAAAAATAAAAAATGTCCATCCTGTTGCTACATCATGTCAGTGTTTCTTCACTCCTGATAAACTCTCCCACATCAGCCTGGTGGAACACAACAATGGACATGGGGTCTACTCTCCGGCACTCCTGTGTGGACTTGGCAGCTACTCCAAAACCCTGACAAAAAAAAATTTAAGAAAAGATATTCATAAAAACCTTTAGTAAAAGACGAAATTTGACATGTCTTCTTCTTAAAGTACAGTTTAGATTTAAAATCATCTTGATCTACCCAACACATTTTTTCGGACTAGGAAGGATATAGATGTGCTGGTAAGAGCCCTAAATTTCAGGGGGAAAAAAACATATGACAGAAGTCAATGGGGGGAATGTGAGGTCCTTTATCATTACAAATAGACTATACCAGGGGTAAACAATTAAAAATCACAAGGTCCAAATAAAGAAAATCAACAGCCAGTAAATGTCTGGAGATATTTACATTATGATCCTTTACACAGCATTTAACATTGAAATAAAATGCTTTTGCATATACAATGACTTTTTAAATATAATATTTAAAAATATATTTAAAATAAAAATATTATATTTAAATATATTTCAAACAACTAGAAAATTTTTCCATCTTAAAATCTAAAGTGTTTTTTTTTTAAGTAGAGAACAACAATCATTCAGTTTGGTACACAGATGATTGCCTGATTCACATAAAAAAAAAAAAACCCTGAAATAACCGTTTGTTTCCCCCCCCCCCCCCCTTCTTTTTTATGGCTTGATGAGAAGTGGGATTTAGGCTGCCCTGCAAGGCTGTGAAACCTGGGTTTGAATGGTGACAAAGCCATTCTAAAGCACTTATCAAGGTTCTCATTAGTGAGCATGGATCAATATGATTTTTGATTATGGTCATGGTGGGGAATCCTGTTTCACAGCAGCAGGTTGAGCCAAACATACTGGAAATGTGCAGGGTCAGATTAGAGCACACCATTTTACTTTTCTTTCACAATTTCACCGCAATTCTTCCAGCAGTCCACACTTCCACTGCACTCTTTTTCTCATTGTCCTCTCCTTTTTTCTCCACCACCCAGCTTGCCACAGGTTCGCCTGCTGTGTCTAAAAGTGGCTAGCCGTGGCAACCAAAACTGACACAGCTCATTAGCTAATTTGAATCACCTGCAGCCTGTTCCCGGACGCTCTGAATGGCTTTACCATGTTAACAGGAGAAGCGGCACAAGTGAAGTTAGACACTGTCATCTGAAAACGTGTAGTAATTTATAAAGGTTTTAAATCAGGTTGGGTCTGGATTAGCCAGCAGGAGGGTCCGCATCCGGACCCCAGTCCACTAATCCGTGACCTCTGGTCTATATTGTTCTAAAGCACTCCAATTATTGTTGATGAACTTGGAACAGCTCTTTTTCTCTCAGAAGACAGAAGAACAGCTGTTCTCTACAGTTGGCGTGTGGCAATTTATGCTTGTAATAAATTGGCTCAGATGCCTTCACTAGTACCAGTAGTTGAAAAAAAAGGTCCAGGGATCAACACCCAATTCTTCTGGGTATTTTTTGCCTACTGGGCGCGCAACCTAATTGAAATCCTCTACATCTCTGAAAATAGAAGACTACACCTGCTTCATCAAGCAGTCTTTAGAGTAGGGGTCACCACCGCGGTGCACACAGGAAACAAGGGGCCACATGGGGTACCCACAGCATCTTCTGTAAACTGCACAACTCACCAGATTGAAATTTTATTTTATTCTGTTGCTCTTCTTTTTTAATCATTTTAGAGCATTTCATCATTGTAATCATAAAGAGCAATTAAGCGTTAATAGAGATTTCAAAATAATATAAAGAAAATTAGGAGTTAAAAAAATGTTTATGTATGAGATATTATACATAAACAGTTCATAGGTCAGTGTTGGTAGCCCTTCCCATGGTTAAGTAGCCCTCAGCCCTAAAAACATTGGTGATACCTGCTTTAGAGACACTTGGACTTGGACAAAACGGGCTGAATCCTAATTTTGAAATTAGTTTTTTTTTTTTTTACTAACTTTAGATTTTCTGCCAGTGATGCAGCAAACCAGGGGAATTTACATTTGACCGAACTTCCTCCGCCACTAGGCTGCTGTCACACCTGCTGCAGAATTCCTGCAAGCCTGCAACTAATGCAGACTGGCTATTTAAGGGCTGAACGTTCCACTGGCCTTACCCACTACGTGGTTGGGATGACCCTTATTGTGGCGGATCCTCTACAGGAATTCACAAATGGAGGGTTAGTGCGCAGGGTTAGTGTTTAGGAACCTCTTTGGGAGTCAGCCTGGGAGTTTTAGCATGAAAATGACTAAAAACACAGCAAAAGTGATTCCCGAAATAGTCTTCTGACAAAAATATAAAGTTTTTTTTGAAGACAGAGCTTAAAATGAGAGTGATGGAATAGAGGCCTTTGAACCTCAGAGATACGGAGCTCATCACTACAGATGAGTGGTCTCAGGCATGAAAAATGCTTTTGAGAAATTGTAAGCATAGCTTCTAACTACATTATTTTAAGTTCAAATTTTAAATGATAATCTAACATAAGTGAATTAAATGCTCCAAAAGAAAAGGGCTGTAAATCACATATAGATAATAAAATCTTAATGGAGTTTGATTAAAAACCAGTTACAAAAAAAAAAAATCTGTGATTTTTGTAATATTTTAAATCTAGACAATGTCAAACACTGGGTTACAAAATGAACTTACCAAAGGTACGTCAGCCATGGAGTACACCACTACTCCCTGATACTGCATGGTGTTTTCAGTAATTCTGCCAAGGCCAGACTTCAACACGTGGTTCCCATACAAGAAAGACTGCTCTGCTCCAGGCTTCACCCACACCTTGAACTGAGAACATGACAGATTCAAATTACTGATTTGTGCATGAGCAAATGTTATCTTAAGGTACAGATGTGGAGTTCTAAAGCTTTGGGAAAGATAATGTTCTGATTTTGAGGTTTGTACAGTCAACAGTATGCTGTTACTTAGGGACAGCGGCGTTTTAATAAGAACTTCACCAGGCCACATTCAACAAGTGCAAACACTCACAGACCTTTGAGGATATTGATTTGTATTTCTGATACAGACAAATATATGACTGAAATAAAGACTAATTGATCATAAATATCAATGCAAATTATTTGAAGCGTTTCTGTTAAGCATTGGTACATATCTCCCGTGTGGCTAATAAATAATATGCCAAAGAGTTGATTTTACAATTTGAATTAGTTGTGTACACCTAGGAAAAAGTTTTAAAAAAATAAATGAAGACTAGTGTTCATGAACTCTAATATAGGCCGGGATGCTTCTGCTTTAACTCTACACTCCTACTGCCATGGGAATGAATACTGCAGTCAGGCATGACACCCACCTTTGCATACGGAGCCAGGAAATCCAGAGCGGTGATGTGCAGGCGGAACTTTTTGGTCTTTGTGAACTTCCCAAAGCACGTACCCACTGAAATCAGCTTATCTCTGGAAAAGTTTGTGGCCAATTTGAGAATTTTCTCACTGTGGACAGAAAACAATTCAAAGTACCGTAAGCTTCTCCATTAATCAACGGCAGAGCTGTCAACTTTACAAAGGAAAACAAGTATAGAATGATGACATCTAAGCAACTAAAGTAGTGTATCACACAACAAATGGCAAAAGTGTAGCAGATTTATTGGGTACTTAAACTGCCTGAAAGATTATCAAAAGGATGACAGAGAATTATCTCACAATTGCTAAAAAATTTTATGATGATTATCAAGACCTGGCCAAATACTTTTCGTCTGATTTGGAAAATAAATTTTAAAAAATGGAATACTCATTTAAGGGGGTGCATCCGTTTACAGCACAGCCTTTTAAATAAAACTATACCTAAAGTCAAACATGGAGTAGAAAGTGTTATGCTGTGGGATTGCTCTATCCCCTGGATGGCTTGCAGTACTGATTCCTACCAGAGCTAGAAGAATGTCCAGCCATTGACTTATCCCACAAAATGACACAATAATACAATACATACAAGAAGATTCAAATTTAGGTGGTCTAGTCAAAGTCCAAACTAAAATATGATTGTGATGTTAAAGTCTTTTAGCCCAGGGTTCATTTTTCATTCAATTAAAGATGCATTTTGTATCGTTTGTTATTATGTCCTCTATTTAAATAAAAAATAATTTGAACAATATTGTTTTGAAGTTAGATTTCAGTAGTAATGCGGATAAGAATGATGCTCATTCCTAACAGTAAGAGTTAGCTGCATTGAATATCATGAAGCAAATGTTATGAACCAGTAATTACCTCATGTAAAACACACGGTC